CCTTTCAGCGTTTGAGACAGCGCCACCTATTCGGGTATCTATGGACGAGGGCTGGGCAGTGGTGTTTGGACACGGCTTCCTGCATTTTCCATCTGTATCTGTGCTTCCTTCCAGGACAGATCGGGCTAGAGCCTAGCTGCTGCCTTCAGCGCAGGGTGAATTTCTCAGACGTGCCATTGGTTTTGCCACCGGGCGCCATTATATAGGAGCCCCACGTGTACCTGCACCAGAGGCCAGCGGGCGATTGCTAAGGAGTAAATCCTGCAGTCATCAGCCTTCGCTCAGGAGAAATGGCGCACTGAAATCAGTGTGGATTTTTGCCTGACGGAGTAAAAAGTGAGGGAGGACTTCAGGATTTGGCCAGGGTGGGATTAGAAGTCAGGACCCAAGACCTGAGGAGCTCTGCTTGCTCAGTCATGTGTCACTCCAGCAGAGGATCGGTCGTATCAGACAAGGTCCTTAGCCAAGAGTCCTGGTTCAGAACACTTCTGAACGTTTGCTCCTGTCCCTACAATGGGATGGACTACAAAGTCCAGCTTCAGATGCTAACCAGGCCTTCTGCTCTGTATCTTCCTGACTCTTCTTTACTTCTAGGGTAGAAGAGAGTTAGTTTCTCCAGTGTGTGTAACTCTCAAGGCGTCTCGGCAAAGGGCTAGATACCGGCGATGCAGGCCCAGCTCACTTGCATCCTTAGACATTAGGACCGGCTTCGGGAGGGCGTGTTGGGGTTATTCCAGGGGTATTTTCAAGGACTGCTGAGGGATCCTAGCTTCTGCCCCGATAACCACCGGAGATGGGCACAAACAGCTGTGGTTTCACGTCTCCGCCCAAGGGCAGCGTTTAGAGTCTTTGCTGCTGGGTGGAAATTTGTGGTGTTTGGCTTGGTTGACGGTTGTGCACAATCCAAAGAAGCAGCACTCGGATGCTGGGGGATTGTGAAATGCCTCGGCCCCGGTATGCGGAGAGCTTGTTTGTTATGATTCATGGCATGGGAGAGGATTATTGAGGAATTCTACCACTGCCTGCCGTAGAAGCACCACCAGACTCCTGAATTCCTCTGTGCGCATAGCTCGGCTGGGCTGGTTTCTGCAAGGATCTGCAGGAGGGGAAAACAGGGTCAGGGAGCAAGGGGCCTTCCCCCGCCCATTGTGCCGCTGCACAATTTCAGTCCTTGGTGTTCTCGACTGGCCTGCGGTGTGTGCTCATGTCTCCTCTTTGTGTCTGGGCTGACGGACAATAGCAGCCTGCTACTTCCCCACTGCAGAGAAAGCTCTTCCTTAGTGCGAGTGGGCGAGCCTGTGATTTCCAGTGTTGAAGTCCCTGGGTTCAATCCCCATCCTCCCCTATGGCAGCTGTTTGAGGACTCAGTTGCAGGCCTGGTATACCCGCACTCCCCCGAGCGCAAGGAGTGAGCGAGCTAGCATCCCTGCTGGTGCTGGATATCCCAGAGAGGGCAATGCCCCCCTCTCCATCAGCAGCCCCAGAACCAGGAGGGAGCATGTCCTGTCCCTCTGGAAAGCACCGTGCCTACCTGAGACACTCCGGCAGCTGGCACGGGGCCTGCGATTCTCTGCCCTGGAGTTTGTGGCTGGCCCTGTGGAAGGACGGGATTTCCTGAAGTTTGAGGAGCCCAAGCCTTCCTGGGGAATGAACTATCTGATTCTGCAGGTCTGAAAAGCTCCCTGCCTCTGAGGGAGCTCAGATTCAGAGCTGAACATCACGGCCTGACCCATGGCACTCTGCTACAAGTGGGGTCATCAGCGGAGGACCCAATTTCCCCCCGTCACCAGCTTTCCTCTTTGCTCTGCAGCTGATGGGGGCGTCTCCTGGGTTCTCAGCTTGACGGCTCGATTGACCCAGGAGACTCAAAAAAACCGCAGCCAACCTAGCCCCATACAGCCAAACAACTGACCTGTCTACTCAGTACCACTGGCCCCCTTGCATTTACCGAATGTCTGTGAAAAGCTGCCGGACAGAGCGCATGGCTCATCTCCAGTGGCTGCAATTGTTAATAATGCTAAAGTCGTGGCTGTCCACGTGGCTGTTTCGGAGGGAGCTGTGTGTTGGGGACGGGGATGGTGGATGAAGGGCAGGGGAGATACCATATGCGCCTGATTCCTCAAGAAGCTTTCAGTTTCCTTTAACCCTTTCTTTTCAATTGAGATTAAAAAGGGAAAAAAACGCTGAAAATCCTCCTGGAAGTGTCCCCATGAGGCCTTGGATGGAGCAGGCCAGGCGTGGTTTGTGCCGGTTAGTTTTCGACCGGTCGTTTCTGTTATTAGTGACGATCTCTTGGTGCTTTTCAGCGGTAAAGGCACAGGTCTGGAGCTGGTGTCGCTAGACTTCAACGGCGCTACAACAGCTGACACCAGCTGCAGATTGGCCACTCAGTCGCTGCCTTGCAGACTGTACAGTCGGAGGCCTTGATTCTGAAAACACCTTTCTTATGCCAACAGCCTGTCCGCCTGACTTGAATGGGACTAGTCCCGGGAGGGAGGGTTGGCAGCACGGGGGCCTCCCTTGGGCAACAGATGATGCAACGGGGAAGGGAAACAAGACACAATCACGGCAGTGGTTTGGATTTGGTGCTTGTTCCATCACTGCCCTTTCCTAAATGGCCACGCAGCGTTTGCTCCCTGCCCTGAACTGGAGTGCATTCTGCCTGCCTGCTGGCCCGCCCCAGAGGGGGCTGCATTTCAGCCGCGTGCGAAGTGATCCCCAGGTGTAATTTGTCGAGCTCTGTTGGGATAGCACTCTGGGCTCCTTTGGGATGAAGGGCTAGTGATGGGCCACAGTCATCCCTGGGGTAACTCCACGGACAGCAGGGGTGGATTTGGCCCGTTAGTGTCTCTAAATCTCAACAATACCTGCAACTAAGCAGCGAGGCCAATAGCAAGTACCGGGCTTCGAGTCTATTCCCTTTCACAGACTGGCTGCAATAAGGAAGGGCATCCACACAGGACTGCAGAACGACTCTAAAGAGAAACCAATGCTTCTTCTGGTGAAGGGATCTCCGTGGCTATTTAATGTTTTACCAGCAGGCCCCTGCCCGTTGCGTCCATCTCCCGATGTCATCCCAGTGATGGACACAGCAGGGACAACGGGCTCCGGGGAGGTGAGTGCTTTTCCTAAAGGCTCTTCCATGTCCGCAGGTCAAGAGGTCGCCGGCGGCGTGACAAATGATGGATGAGGCAGGGAGGGGCGGCGGGGACATCGCTTTTAATGGCCATCGATTTCTTGACCTTGATCTAACACTTGGGGTGGGGGTTTCCACGTGCTCCATCCATCCCCGGCAGTTGGATCGTTACGAATAGCCGCTTGAAGAGATTATTATGGACTGGGAGACAGGGACAAAGCCTCACGATGCCTGTTAGGAAGGGAGGACGGGGGAAGCAACGTGTTCTGCTCATTTTGAGATTCAGCTTCTTCGGAGTGTCGGCTAACAGGAAGCCACGGCTCAAGGAAACTGGAACAGCCACAGCTCTAAAGCAGTAACTGGGAACGGGAAAACGAATGGGAGTCAGGTGGTCTGGGTTCACTTCCTTGCTTTTGCAGGGTGACCCTGGGCAAGTCACTTAGTTTTCCTGAACTTCCTTTGAAACGGGGATACTACTACTCCCTTTTGGTCACCATTCGTCTGTCTCGTCTCTTTAGATTGTAACCTCTCCAGGGCAGGGACGGTCTACCAGGGCTCTCGGGATATGTCCTCTGTGTATGTAGAATGCTTAGCCCAAGGGGGACCCGATCTCAGATGGGGCCTCTAAACTCTACAACTGAGGATGGATTACATCGGGAGAATTTACTGGTACAGAAACCCTTGCAATGCAGCCTGTCCTACACGGCACTTCATCCCAGATCCTCGTCAGCTACCACACGCTAAGCAAGATTGACTTCAATCAGCTGGGTTTATTAGGCTCTTTAGAGGGAGACCTCTAACGAACTGTGAGATGCCCACAAGGTAGAAGCCAGGGTGATTCAGTGAGGGGCATCTTTCCTGATCCATTATCCCAGTGGGATGGGAGGGGGTGCTGCTGTGTTTGGGAGGAGACGTGAAGCCTTTATCCCAACCTCTTGGGGTCATTAAAATACATCACTGTGTTTTTCTCAAGTGTAGAAAGAGAGAAGGAATCCGGTGAAGGAAATTTCCCCTGAAAAGCATTACCTGGAGACGCATTGCTGCCCCTTCTACATGGGTGGAATCTGCTATACATTTCAGGGAACCTCCAGATCCAAGCCCACCCCTAACTTTAAAACAAATAAAAGGAAGTATTTCTTCACACAATGCACAGTCAACCTGTGGAACTCTTTGCCAGAGGATGTTGTGAAGGACAAGACCATAACAGGGTTCAAAAAAGAACTAGATACATTCATAGAGGATAGGTCCATCAATGGCTATTAGCCAGGATGGGCAGGGATGGTGTCCCTAGCCTCTGTTTGTCAGAAGCTGGGAATGAGCGACAGGGGATGGATCACTTGATGATTACTTGTTCTGTTCATTCCCTTTTGGGCACCTGGCATTGGCCACTGTCAGAAGACAGGATACTGGGCTAGATGGACCTTTGGTCTGACCCAGTAGGGTCATTCTTATGTACTTAGCACTCCTGGATCGGGGAGATCCTAAACCAGAGGGACCGATATTAGATGCAGTGGAGGATAGTGGAAATCTCACGGGAACAAGTGATCTCATGAGATTTCCCCCACGCTTGCCTGAAATTCACATGCCGCTAGAGAAGCT